AGGCTGTGTTTTGCTTGGCACTCACATTTTTCACCAAATAAATAGCTCTTTACCATCCACTTTTTGCACTTACACTTTTAAAAACACTGAGCAAAATAATTTGCCGTAACAATTATTCTCTTCATTTTCTTTAGGTAAATAGCGACTAAAGCACCATTTTCATCTGGTAAAACTATTTTCAGCTGTGGACAGAATTTTTGTAGCTTTCTGTGCATTTTTACAGTTAAGTGGATTGAATGTGATAAAATGGGAGTTAAAACAGCTTGTTAAACACAGAGATGCTTCCTGTCAGCTCATGGTATCGTGGTTTAGTTATTGGTGTTGATCTCTTAAATGTTCATTTATATTCTCAGAGTTTCCTGTGTTGTCACCTAGTCTGCAAAACAACTAAAATCTTATCTGTCAAACATTTGACGTCAACCTTCACAAATATAGACAGGAACATATACATACATTAAAAAAAGACGCCTATGTCTGCAGTACAAGAATAGAAAACAGCCAAACAAGAGCAACAGTTCACCACACAAAAAATAAAAAGATTTCAGATTAAAAAGCCAAAAGATAATAAAATATATTGCTGCTACCGATTCACTGGACCAGTGTATGAAGGTTTTGTGGTGACACTCGTCTCATAATGCCCCCTTAATCTTTTTAGGTTATTAGGTAAAGTTATTATAAAGATAATTAAAGTTTTTCTACACCTTCTTGTTTCTGTTGTGAACAAATGACTTATTAATACAATTTGCCCCAACAGTTAAAGAGAAGCTACAATTACATTTATTTTACATTCAAGAAATGTGTCTCACCTTGGGTGAATCCACTGATGACTGAGCTGAACACTGTACAAAAAAAGAAACATTTATGAAAAAGTCAGAACAAAGGATAAGTTATCAAAGACAAACTGGTATTTTAAGGCATTTCAAAAATCTTTTTTTTTGTTGTTGTTTTGTTTTTTCAATTACACATGTTATGTGTATTAACTCTTATTTAGAAAAATTGAGTTTATTAGTCATCCATTATAAGGCGGGGTACATTCCGGGCAAGTCGCAAGTCCATCGCAGGGAAAATAGTAAATGGCTTTGTACTTGTTTTATCAAGTTCAGAGGACCCAAAGCGCTTCACACTAGTCACACCCATTCACAGTAGGAACTCACGCATGCACAGGGAGAACATGAAAACTCCACGCAGAAAGACCCTGAGCCAGCTTGTAAAGCAACTCTGCTACTAACTGCGCCACTGTACAGCCCCGTTTATCAGTCATGTATTTTTAAAGTGAATAAATTTACTTACAGAACAGCACGTAAAGCCAAGCGTGTCCCATCCTCACACCTGCTGAACAACTATAACCAGGAAGCCTTCTAGCTGTGAAAAAAGTAGAAGTTTCGAGAATTCTTCTTTTTCTTCTTACGTGTTTCCTTCCCATTTCTCAGAGTTTTAAAAACTGCAGC